AGCGTCCTGTGTTTGGGGTGGAGTGCAGGGCACGCAGTGCAGTGAGAAGTCATGCTGGTACATACATCCCATGATCAAGAAGTGGTGGACAAGTCACTTTACCATGGGGCTTTTAGTATTGAAAGAGGTAGGAGTTAGTATTGGTGATTCTTTCAGCCTGTGCACAGCCTCTGTGGGTCCTTGGGTACAGTCTAAGGTGGGATGTCACTTGTCTTCTTTAGACAATCAGGCAGTAGGAAAGACTCTGTAGTTATCTTGTGGCTGTAAGGAGGTTCTGCTGTTTCTGGGAAAGAAGCTCAAAGAAATGCATTAGTATAACAAAGTTACATGGCTCGGCTCCTGTAGTTCAGTGGCATATACCAGGGCTGGCGGATTTGAACCCGGTGCAGGCTTGCCAAACAACAACAGCTACAACCAAAAAATAGCCCAGTATTGTGGCAGGCACCTGTAGCCCCAGCTAGTTGGGAGGCTGAGGCAAGAGAATCACTTAAGCCCAAGAGTTTGAGGTTGCTGTGAGCTGTGATGCCAGAGCACTCTACCAAGGGCCACATAGTAAGACTCAAAATAAAAAACAAAAACAAAGTTACAAAGTTTTAGTCAGCAGATCTTATTGAGAGTTTTCTATTTTCTGCGTGCTTTGAAACTGCAGTGGCTAAGCTACCAGTGTTGAGATAAAACTCTGGTTACAGTACCCCTAATTTAAGGATACTTTGAGCAGCCAGCTATAACCACTAACGTGAACACTGAAAACTCATTTGGAAAACAAAGGAACTAAAAATACTATTTAAAAAGACATTTTCTTGCTTATGGAGCTAGTTACAGGCTTACCACCATGTGAGCTCCCTCCACATTAAAAATGTAGGTAATCTCAGAGGGGATTCATTTTGAGTTATCAGAGACACCCTTGTAAGGCCTTCTTGGGGTGTGTGGGTAGGTCCTTAGGTGGCTAGAGATGTCAGGGAAGAGGAAGAGGCCCAGTAGGTTAACTCTCCAAAGTTAGCAGCCTACAGTTGGCTAGGCAATTTAGAAGCATCTTTCCCATATCCCCCTTTGCGGGAGTAGCTGTGTTTCATTAATAATCATACAGCCAGGTGTGCTGGCTCTTGCCTGTAATCTCATCTGCTTGCTAAGGCAAGAGGATCATTTAAGGCCAGAACTTTGAAACCAGCCTACCCAACATAGTGAGACCCTGTCTCTAAAAATTTTTTTTAAAAATTAGCCAGGTGGGGTTGTGTGCTTCTGTACTCCTAGCTGTTTGGGGGGATCGTGTGGGAGGATTATTTGAGGCCAGGAGTTTGAGGCTGCAGTGAGCTGTGATTGTGCCATTGCACTTCAGCGTGGAAGACAGAAAGAAACTTTCTCTCTAAAAAAAAGTCATGCACCTCTTAACAACAGGTATAATCCTGAGAAAAACATCAGTAGGCAATTGTGTCATTGTGTAAACTTCATAGAGTACATTTATGCAAACCCAGGGGGTATAGCCTTCTGCATACGTAGGATGTATGGTATAGCCTGTATGCCTCAGGCTATAAACCTATACAGCATGTTACTGTACTGAATACTGTAGGCAATAGTAGTGTAACAGTAAGTATTTACATATCTAAACACAGAAAAATATAGTATAAAAGGAGTGTCCAACCTTTTTTATTCTCTGCCATATACTGGAAGAAGAGTTGTCTTAAGCTGCACAGTAAATACACAAACACTAACAAAAGCTGATGAGCAAAAAAAAAAATCTGTGCATAATTTTTGTGATATCTGATGCCATAGATAAGCAAAACAGTTCTCCAATAATGTGCACAGGTTGGGCACTCCTCCTGGACCACTCTATTATAATCTTGTGAGGCCACTGTTATATGTGGTCTGTTGCCTGAAACGTAGAGATGTGTGATTGAGTGTCTTCTATTTATGCCGAAGTATGTGTGCGTGGAATGACACGATGTCTGGTGTTTGCTTCAAAATAATCTGATTGTGGGACTAGAGAAGTAAGGAGAATATGGACGAAACAGGAGTGTCTGCAGAGTGTTAATTGTTAAAAGCACGTGATGGGTATATGAGGATTCAACAGATTCGACAAGTTAAAAACACGCAAAGTTCAATGCATCGAGAGAGCACAGATACTGCAGACACACTGAGACAGGATAGTATTGTTCCCTATTGTCTTAATAGAAGAGCTTTTGGAAAATACATTTATGAGACTATTACATATACTCTGGTAGACTTTAAATATATGCTGCCTTATAAGACACTAAAGTACCCTTTATTTCTCTCTTTTTTCTCTTCCTTTTGCAGTAAAAAATTTAATTACATGTATGGATAAAATTTAGGTCCAGAGGGGTCCACAGAGGTAGTGATCATTTCTTTCAGACGTGAAGTGGACTCTAGGCTTCCCCCTGCTGTTGCACTTTTATAATTTTAAGTAATAATAGAGTTACCATATGCTGTGTGTTTCAGGCCCTGTGCTAAGCACTTTATAAACTTGATTTCATTTCAATAAATATTTTCAAAATTATCATTACAAGTAAGAATTCTTACTCCCATTTTATACATGAGAACAACTTTCTAGAATCTGATGTCTGTGAGAACAGGGATCATCTTGTTTACCATGCTTAACACCTGGGCCTAAAACATTGCCTGACATTTATTTATTTAGCCTAGTTAAGTGTATGCTAATCAATAAATCAGACTACACCTTGTGTAATGAACAAATAGACACTATCATGTCTGAGTCTTCTGGTTAACAAAAATAGGACTAGGGCTGGGTGCAGTGGTTCACACCTAGAATCCCAGCACTCTGGGAGGTTGAGATGAGTGAATTGCCTGAGCTCAAGCTTCCAGACCAGCCTGAGCAAAAGCGAGACCCTGTCTCTAAAAATAGCCAGGTGTGGTGGTGGGCGCCTGTAGTCCTAGCTACTGGGAAGGCTGAGGCAAGAGGATCACTTGAACCCAGGAGTTTGAGGTTATTGTGAGCTATGACGCCACAGCAGTCTAACAAGAGCTATAAACTGAGACTCTGTCTCAAAAAAAAAAAAAAGGACTGAATACTCCCAGGTAAGTCTGGGTTTTTAGTCATTATTGACTTTTTAGTAGGAGGTTTTCTTTGATGCCCTTAATGGAACGCTTTTCCCTGAATCACCTGGGATCCTGTTAAAATGGGGTTTCTGATTCAGTAATCAGATCAACACCTGAGATTATGCATTTCTAACAAGCTCCAAGGTAGTAAGATGCTGCTGGTCAGGGGACTACACTTTGAACTGGAAGGCTTTAAGATTAAGTAGGACAGGATTAGTCAAAATAATCTTATATATAGAATTTGAGAAACCCTGAAATAAATTTTCCAGTACCATGCAACTATATGAATTAATGGGAACTGCTAAAAAATGCTATTTATTTTAGGCATGAACAGAGCCTAGTCTTTCAGTAGACTTGTTAACAGTTTGCCAGCATTTTCCAGGGCCTTGGGAACTGAATTATTTCTTATTGACACACAAGTGGGAAGCCTACAGTAAGTTTTAAGGGTCTGAGAGTAGGTGGAACGCAGAGTAGGGCTTGACTTTGAAGCATAACCAGCGAGTCAATACACCAGAGAAAAGGTAGTTGTTAATCATGCCCTTTCCATCACAGGCCCAGTCGGGGAACATTCAGAACGCTGTGATGTTAGACAAACAGAAGGAGCTGGACAGCAAAGTCAGAAATGTGAAGGACAAAGTTATGGTGAGTGCTGAGTACACACATTTATTCTGAAATATTTGGTAGGAGAAGAAAGGGTTCAGTCACTTTGGGTGTAAACCTCGTGATTGAGTCTTTTAAGTAGTTAAGAAAAATTTTGCTGATGTCCCAAACATAAGTAAACGAGTAAGTGAAAACCAGTGACCAGTGAGACGTTGTCATGGCCCTGTTAAACTGCCAAATGTGGAGCACATCTTTGTCCTCCTTGCAGGACCATGCAGTGAATGTTGACTTTGCCCCATTACCCAGTAAGCTAGAAGTCATTGCTCTTGATAAGCCTTTGTCTCCACACCTCTCAAGCAGGGTGTTCCAGGGTTACACAGAGACATGGCCCCTTTTCCTCAAGCACTTGCTTTATTCTGCCACTCAGAGCAGCAAAAAACATTTCATTGAAAGAAGTTCTAATTGACATAAGACAATTTTAAGACCAAACTTCCAGGACAGTTTGTGGAGGCAGAGGGCTGTTTTGGTGCCCCGGTTGGTATATGTTCATTCACTCTCTCCACTGTTATGTTGTTTTTAAGGAGAGAGTGAAGACTTCTGCTTTACAGCAGGCCTACATTTGCAGAAAAGACCTTCTGGCCAATGAGTGTGGCGAGTTCAAACCCGGCCCCAGCCAAACAGCAACAAAAAATAGCTGGGTGTTGTGGCAGGCACCTGTGGAGCTAGAGGTTGCTGTGAGCTGTGACACAGTGGCACTCTACTGAGGGTGACAAAGTTAGACTCTGCCTCTAAAAAAGTAATAAAAGCTTTTTGCATACTTATTAATAAAGTATGTTTATTGCATATTTTCAGTGAAATAGAAATTATTTCATGTATATGATCAAAGTTTTGCAAGTCTAATCCATTTTTGAGCAGGCTGGAATTGTTCCCATGTTTCTCTGGGTTCTAGAGAAGCAATACTCAGATTTCTAGAGTCTTTGCAAGGTGATAATCAGTGGAAAATGTGTTTTTGTCTCTATTTGTAGTGTATTGAACATGAAATCAAGAGTCTAGAAGATTTACAAGATGAATATGACTTTAAATGCAAAACCTTGCAGAACAGAGGTAAGGATTAACAGTGAAAGCAGTGCCCATTGGCTACAATGTTTTGTGTTCACATTAGGTAACACAGAAGAATTCTCCTTTATATTAAGTACTTTCTGACTCGGGATTGCCGGTCTTGGTTTCTGGGTGATCCTGGCCAGCATTTCTCAGCCTCACTACTGTTGATATTTTGGCTCGGTTATTCTTTGCTGTGGGGCTGTCTGTGTGTTGTAGAATGTTTAACAGTATCCCTGACTTCTCCCCACTAGATGCTAGTAACACTACCTGGTAACCCCTGTTGTAATGACAACCAAAACTGTCTCCAGACATTGCCAGATGTCTCCTGGGGCTCACTCCACTTCACCTGACTTCTTATGCCAAGCCCACTGGCCAACACAGAGTTGATGGATGCATGGAGTTCCCTGCCCTCACACCTAAGTTCCTGCACACATGCCAGACCCATGCATGTCTGCTGCACACAGATTCATTCTTCTCATGTTTTGAAGAAGTTTCACTCTGTTCTGTTGCTGGTGTTGCTTGTTTGTAAATGAATGCAGCAACTGAAAGTAACCCACAAATCTGCATGGAATAGAACATGCAGGGTGCTGCTGTTACCCTAGTAACTGAGACTATTAGTAGGGTTTGGGTAAAAAGGATGAGAAACAGAAATCAACTGCTACTTCCTAATCATCTATTTCTCTTCGAAGCCCCACATATGCTTTGTTGTCAGGGCCCAGGACTGGCCAGGTCTCGGGCCCAGCTTAGGTAGGTTCTGGACGCAGACCACTAAGCTACCTTGCTCAGGAACAGTTTCTCGTAGGTGCTTGAGGGCTATCTACTTTAGTTGGAAAGAGAGAGACAGAGTATCTTAGAGAGAGTAAAGGTCTTCTTAGAACAGATAGCTCTTAGTCTTCAGCAGAGACGCCGTGCTGGCGTTCTGCAGGCAGGAGAGGAGACAGAGTCAGAGTAAGTGGATCCGTGATAGAATGCGCATGCCTCTTGACTGCCTGTTCCTCCAGCCTAATATAAGGCTGAGCTCGTGCCGCTCAACACCACAGGTGTAGAGACTGCCAATTCACCAATGCTCTCATCTCGTGAGCTCACTCATGCTTGTTAGAACCAAATCTCTCTCCATGCCCTTTTCACCAAGGTGTTCCATTACAGGTATTTCCTATAACTCTCACTCCTCCTAGCCATAGGCTATACGGGCTGCTACACTTTGTGTACATTTTTTTTTTAACTGAGGTTTTGAATTTTGTCATACATATTCATTCAGGTAATATTGTGAAAATAACTTAAGTTGTAAACAGTACTGTTTCCAATTCACATGCATCACTGAGGAAACTACTTTTGTTTCAGTGTGTTCAGTTTTTATACTTAGAACATTTTTTCTTGTTTTGTTCAATTAAGGTTGAAAAAGACTCAAACTTTGACCTATTATTATATAGCATTTATGTCATAATTTTGTAAAATTTTCTTGTCTTTAGTTGGTTTTGTCTTCTTTATATAAATATATTTATCTGCCATCTCTTCTAATTCACAGAACATGAAACCAGTGGTGTGGCCACGAATGAACAGAAACAAGAAAAGCTATTAATCCAGAAGTTGTATTTAATGCTTGACAGTAAAAGAAAGGTAGTGATTTACTTTCCAGATTAGCATGTTGTTTATGTCATAGACTGTAAATAATGAGTTTACAACAGATGAACAATTATTTTTTATAAATAACAATTAGTTTTTAATTTTAATATAACAGTTATTTTTTATTTTTAATATAACAGTTATTTTTTATAACCACTTGGCTTAGACATCCATTGAGAAAGAATGGATATTTGCTTTGCTTTAAAAAAAAACTTTTAATGATTAAAAATGAATTTTTTTCACTTTGTTTCTTTTCTCCATTTAGGAAGTAGTTCATAAAATAATAGAGTTGCTGAACATCACTGAGCTTACCCAGAATGCCTTGATTAATGACGAGCTGGTGGAGTGGAAGCGGAGACAGCAGAGTGCCTGTATCGGGGGACCGCCCAATGCTTGCCTGGATCAGCTGCAGAACTGGTAAGATTCTCCTCAGCGGAAAGCTGGCAGCTGTGTGGCTAACCACATAAACTCATAAAGTCACCTTTGAGCTGTTAGTTGAATGGACTCTGTCAAAACTCTTAAGTTTGACGTAACCCACCTTCTGCTTATTCTGGAAA